AACTATTTTTAAGCCATAAGCTTACTGTTGTTTTATATTTAATCTTCCACCATTCACTTTTTGTTTGTTTTTTTATTCAATGTTCCTTTATAAAACATCCCAGACAGATAATTTTTTATTATTCTTATGCTAGCTCTACTAAATTAGATACGAATTAACAAATGTCTAAACCCTGGCTGTTCGTGGGCGATAATTAAGTGGATGTTCGTTGTATGGGACCAGCGTTCTTCTATATATAGTTGAATTGATTGCTCTATTACATTTTGGTAACTAACAAGGCAAACAGATCGAAAATATGACAAGTTGACAATTGCTTGCTCACTTCTGAAGCCTAAACTCTCTCGTTTTTCTTTCTTTTATTGTTAATCTTTGCGTGGGCATCAAATTGTGCGTGGGCGCTCCAAGTCAAGTACGTTGAGCGTAGAGCTGGCTGAAATTCTATTAGTCGTCTAAGGGGTGAGTACATTCTTCAGCAATGGAAAAAGAAAATAGGAAAAATGGTCGATATATTATTGGTTGTTTGGACACTTAAAATGTATTATGACTATTTTTGTTTATTCTCGCTTTAGAAACTAACAAGCTGTAATTATTAACAGCTCAAAATCATTAAAAAAAGTGAGGAAAAATACAAGCATTCTAATATTTTGTTAAATTATGAAGCACCATGCTAGACACCAAGTACTAGCCAACTCATTTGACATCCCCTTTCCCCCAAGAATTAGCTTCCTTAGTACGTGGGCCCGTCCAAGTATGCCTTCTGGTTATTGTGGCAAAAACGTACGTACATTCAGATACGGTACCTATTATACCGTGTCTTCCCCCTTCTCACTCAGATCTTTATCTGCTAAAAAAGGGCGCCTTGTATAGCGCAAGTCCCCTTCACCGAGTCCACGCAAATTACAAATGAAATCTTACTTACAAAAAATAAAAAGTTTCCAGAAAATTGCATTTTCATACAAGATTGGTCTTTTGTAGAGAGCATCCAGTTGAACATAATTATAACGTCATGTGATCTTTTCTCATACAGGATGCATTATATAGAACATAATTATAACTTCATGTGATCTTTCCTTACACAGGATGTATTATAGAGAACATAATTATAACGTCATGTGATCTTTCCTTATACAGGATGCATTATATAGAACATAATTATAACTTCATGTGATCTTTCTTTATACAGGATGTATAATAGAGAACATAATTATAACGTCATGTGATCTTTCCTTATACAGGATGTATTATAAAGAACATAATTATAACGTCATGTGATCTTTTCTCATACAGGATATATCATAGAGAACATAATTATAACATCATGCAATCTTTCCTTATACAGGATGTATTATAGAGAACATAATTTTAACGTCATGTGATCTTTCCTCGTACAGGTTTGATATATTATATAGAGCATCTAGAATACATCTTAGCACAATTATGAGTTCGCATGATCAATATAATCTTTATTTCTCCAAACTCACATTCTTATCTTAATATCATATTTAATTATGATGATCTATGTATAAAATATTGCAAGATTTATAATCAACTCATTCTTCCTACCAAATCTGATTTAAGCCTATAAAATATGGTTTTAAAACAATTTCGATGGAACACATATACAAATTAATAACTTGTGATCAAAACAAGTTAAATATATATATATATCAGAATTAAAAATTAATAACATAGTATACAATTTATTAAATTTTATACCGTTTTGTCTAGGATTATGTAACTTCATGAACTGTTACAAAAACTTATAGGCTTCCTCAATGGCTCAGCGGTAAGTCTAACGGTTTATAACGCTAAAAACCGTGGTGGGCACATCACAGATAGCCCACCGTATAGCCTTGCGCTGAACAACAACAACAAAAAAGCTAATAATGGTTATAATATATTGATTTATAGGTTGGGTATATATTTTTGACCGTAATCTAAGTACGTAATCTAACACTTCAAACGTAATAGCCACATTAGGAGAGATAGGTTAGTTCATATGCTAATAATGCAAAAACATCTTTGTAAAAATAAGAATTAGATAAAAACTGCTATGTAAACAGACGTTAAAAATTTTAACCAATACCATTAATGAATCTCACTTTAAGAAAAAGTGGAATACACGATACTGGGTAAAGCGTGTCCGTTTGGTTTAGCCCAAATCTATACAATGGGGTATTTGTTCGATGTTCGCGGCGGAGATCAAACCACGAATTCTATTGGTGCAAATCCAGACGATTATCGCTGAACATATCAGGAAACTAAGTAAAAGGCAGTTCCCGTATGTAAATGTAACTCATAGTTAAAAGTTAAATTGACAGAAAACGGTTCAAACATATGGTTTCTCTTTCTTCGTTTCCTTAATTTATTCTTAACTTAGAATTAAAACTTCCTATAAAAGGTTACATGTTGAACATTTCGCAGTTAAGAAACTAAATACAGGTGGTTAGGGCGTTTGATTCGTCATCTGAGGGTCACAAGTTCGAATCCCGTTACCGAACAAGTTTTCCCTTTTAGCCATAGAGGAGTTATAATACAACGGTCAATTCCAGTATTCGTTGGTAAAGAGAAGCCCAAGAGTTGGCGGTGGGTAATGTTGACCAGCTGCCTTCCCTCTAGGAACGACTAGCGCAGATAGCCCTCGAGTAGTTTTGCGCAAAGTTCAACAAACAAACAAACTATAGATACGTCAAACTTCCCAAGTTACAGGCAGCGTTCATGGAAACTAGCAAATGAAGCAAAAATATCATATTCGTGAGGACATGAAAGTCGTTGAACGTCAGAGGTTAATACTATTCCCATTCATCGACCTTATAAGGTAATCTACATTCTCCTAAAGAGGGCTAACGTTATACAGAAACAAACACTCCTGCGCTAAAGAAGTTAGATGTACGTGCTCATCAACACTCGTTAGCTTCAACAATCACTCCCCAGGTGTCTTGTTAAATGGGTCTACTTAAATATGCTTGTTTCTTACTGGCACAACTTTGAATACACTAAGAACAGGAAAGACACTAAGCTACCTATGATGATGCACTGTGTGGAGACCTGATTTTCACAGCGCCTCGTACTAAAGTCTTGGAACACTTCCCTGATAACATACTATTAATTAATAAAGATACTTTTTTTATAGTATTTTATTTTCATTGTCATATTACGTGCTATTCTGCTTGAGATCGTTTAACAAATCTTCAAAATTTTTGGAAAGACGAGTTTGAGATTCAGTACAATTTACTGCCTTCAACTGGTCCGGGCGTGGTCGAGTGGCTAGCGTGCTCGGAATGTGAATCCGATACTTCCCGGCCTGTTTGAGACTGTGGATGTGCTATAAGAGTGACAGTCACAATTCGACAGCTACTGCTCAAGAGTGGGAGGTGGGTGACGATACCATCTGCCTGTTATTCCAGTCTATCAGTGAACAATTAAGAACGACTATATGCAGATAACTCTTGTGTAGCTTTGCACGAAGATTCTGGAACAAACAAACGCGCTTTCTTTCTGAACGGTATATATCAATCTGTGTTCTTTTTAACATTTAAAGTATTTGGTGAAAACGTTAACGTACCCATTCCGAACCACAGAATATTATCATATTCATGTCAAAATAATTTTGATATTAAAACGCAGCGCACATTTATATAAACATTAAAAACATGAGGAAACGATCCTCAGACTCATAAATGATATTTCTATCAAAATGATGAACTCAGCACGTGTGTCTAATATTTCGACAATACTTTACAACTGTATAGATATTAATGAACATTGAATCAATTTCAATGATGGTAAGCGTTTTGACTTTTACATTTAATTATTAACGTTTCTTTCGTAACAATAACATTTTCCAATAATGTAATAAACAATTGACATATAATAACCTAACAATAGTACCAACAATACATTAATCCGCGCGATTTACGCTTTTCTAGTAAGACATGGTGGTGGCAGACAAAACATTCTGACGTAACAACTTCATTTTTTTAGTAATAATAATACCAATTAGAATTCAACTCACTGGCTCAATATTTCGTTATTACAGCTTCGTCAAGAGCTATCGATAACCTACAGGTTCACTAATCTAGTTTAAATTAAATTGGAATATCTTTATCATTTAATCGAAAACTGATACACGTACCTAAAAACATTCCGATTTCATTAAAAATGATACCAAACACGTTTGGTTTATATACCTCGAGTATAGAAAAATTATATCAATCATGGAATTATCATATGATGAGCTTCACTGATGAGCTGATATCATAATTATTTACCACTGACCACAGATTTGTAGGCTTTTAGCGATGATTTATATTTAGTTAGTTGTTATGATGCAAGTGGTAATGTAGTTGAAAACGTAAGCGGTATTTTGTATCATCTACAGATGTAGAACCTGTTTTCATCAGATTTTGCAGTGTTAAACACCCAATATCAAGCGAGAAACGTTTCTGTGTGATAACGTAGTAAATTCTAAGCTAAACCATATCTTTATGATATCAACTTAGCACGTTTAACAATGGTAGCACTGTATAATCTGATGCAAAAAATGTCACTTTAACTAAATTTATTCATTTATTTTTTAATGAAATATCATTTAAAAAGTACTATATTACTCAAGTCTATATATATATATTTCATTCTAGAATTTATCACACCAATAGGAGGACACTTTCATGAATAGAAGTTTCTTTCAGCGCATCATGCGCATGTCTCCTCCTGAAAAGAGTAATCGATAAGTTGCCCTAAACCATGCTATGTCTTGATATTTACGCAGAAGTTTTTTGATATCAGTATTTTTCTTTAAGAAATAACAACACTAATATTCTCAGTTCTATAACTTATGACGTTTTTGTACAGTACACTTTAAATATTGCAGATGTTATAATCTTTATACATCAGTATATAATTCATTAATCAAATCAAAGAAAGTTGGTAATGGTAGAGACTGAAATCTAGCAGACGACTTTTCTCACTCTATAGCTCAGTTATAACACAAAACTTACCGCTTGTATTTCTGGAATCAGGAAGATTAAGAAGACAATAAGGATAGACCTGAAAAGAACGAAAACAGATAAAGCATTAGGTGGGAAATAAACAATCGCCTTCAGTATTACACACTTTTCACAATTGTAAGAGTTATTCTTCTACATCAGTTTATAAGGAAGACTTTAAAACTATTAAAAGTTTAAACATCGTCTTACTTACAATTTACAGAGCAAAAGTCCAGAAAATCGTTGTGATTTCAACTCCATGATTTTCCTGGGGGTCTGCACTGCGGGCTGGACCGCCACCTACAAACCCTCCCCCCAAATCAATGTTTACTGCTACTTTTACGATTGAAACAGTGATACACAAAACAAGAGTTTTCAATGTTTGCTAGAAGGTTTGTGGCTTCTCTTAATACTTCTTAAAAATTAACTCTCCATACGTCACAACTGTTAACTAGCTGCTGGAGAGCTAAATTGCTAATGGTAGCAGAGCCACGCCACAAGCGTTAGATGATACTAGCCAACACTTTTCGACAGGACTTCGGAAGTAGGATGCTAGTGGGCGGGGTTTACTTGTCATGTGACCCAAACTTTTACTCGAATCAAATGTTATAATTTTTATCCTTTTTGATTTTAGCTTATTGATTGTAAGAAGAATCTACAGGAATTATGGAGTAATTACGAAAATTAATCCAGTGTTGACTTTGAAACCATGTGTAAACTAATCGAAAAGTTTTTATTTTAGTAATAGCGTGTAAAACAAAGTTTGAAGACTCTCGTAGAATACGTTTCTATTGGGTGATATTATGCCACTCATTCATTCTTATTTGCCACACCTACTTGGACTTTTCTCGCATTCAGTCACAATTTATTGCAGTAATGTAGTTTTCTGTAGCTTTTAAGGTTCTTTGCAGTTTCATATATAATCAGTTTTAGTTTTTGGTTAGCTCAAGTAGAAAAAAAAATAGAAAGAAAGAAAAACAAAGAGCGAATTACTCCGACCCGCAAGAACTGTAATTCCTGTCAAAGGCGGGGTATTCTATAAACTGGCAGAGGAGGCTAGATCTACATGTGCTCGCCGCTTCCAGACGACGACAACATGGGACACTAACGTGTTAGCTGTGAGGTCTGGACTAGCATAGGGGTGTACGATATAGAAGTTTTTGGTTTTGCCACGCTCTGCGGCATTCCAGAACGCTCAGAGGCCTGTTTTCTAGTAAAATGCAATCACAAGTAGTCTTCCAGTTTGTGGGATGTTTTTTTCTCTTACTTTTGGCCAAGGGCAGTGAAGCTGCGGTGAGTGTTACTTACTTAAGCATAAACTTCTAATAAAATAGACAAAAATAAAGTATATTACAACTCTTTTAAAGTTAATATATATAATTCATTAATGACATGTTTAATACGCTTAGGTTATTTTCTTTTATTAGCTCTATTATTTCATGTCATTTAAGTTTTCATGGGTATTTAACTTTAACGGGATAGTTACCTAGCCTCGGAGCAGAGGCTTGGTGGCATTACACTATCCAGGAGTAATTACTTGATTAGTAAAAACGCGGCTACATATGATGAGATTTAGTACTTTTTTTTTGTTTGCTTGTCGAACGGTTATAATTGTACTTTAAAGAACTTCCTTGACAAATGTTTTTACTTATTATTAACATTAAACGCATAGAAGATTGAGCTAATTGTATTAAATATTCTAAAGATGATCAAATATTCACATAAAGCAATTTTACAAAACATAAAATAAACATAATTATTGTATGTAAAGATAAGCATTCGATACATAAAGTTAACACTGAATTTTCTCTCAAGAAAAGAAATGTACAACTTTTGCAAATTAATCTATTCCCATTATTATTAGATGACACACGCTGCATGAAAAAATAAAATAAATGCATTGTGTACATTATGTTAATAAAAATAAAGATAAATAAAAAAAAGCAAAACTACTTATAAACTTTTCGGATTAGGTGGTTAAGACCAACTACATATGCATTAGTATAGATGCTTATACCTGTATAAAATGTGTTTTATTCCAGTAATTTTCGAAAACGTGATGATAAACACGCGCTTGTCGAAAGTATTATTAAAAAGCTCCTTCCTATCAGCAACATTTTAAACATACCATCTATCCTCACGCTCGATACACCTGTGGACTAACTCCTCACATATGAGGATATAACAACTAAGAACGTCTTTTGTTGACAGTCTATGGCCAGTTTAACTACAGCTTCAAACACAAGCTCCCAATAAATACCCTTTTATAGAAGAATGGACTTTATTTACTGTGTCTATGAAGACAATTTCGTTTACATTTTAACTTTTGCGTGCATAAAATTTTCATTTTTTCAAACTTCATTGGTATTGTACTTTAACAGAATATTAAAAAGTCGAATCATATGAAAAAATTAAACTTTTTGATATGTATTAACAAATAGTAGAGAAAAAAAGCATTGATTTTTTTCATTATTTTAAGAACGTGTGTGAAAAATAAGAAGAAAAATATTTTTATTAGTTTTCCAAGTTCTGTAACTTGCACATCAAACCTGCACAAACTATGAAGACTTTGACGTTCATTTTAAATCGAAACTTTATCTTAGTTAGAGTTTTCATATTTATACAAAATTGATATTTTGATAGATAGTTTTTAAGAAAGTATACATATATATTTGTTTACTTTGACTGCTTGGAGCTTTGACATTCATATTTTCGTTTTCACTGTCATCAAGTGTTTTTTTGCCTTTTTTCTGTTTATGTGATATGTCCTCCTCTAAAGTTAATGGATCAGCAACCTAGCAACCAGTTTGATCTTTCTAGCATTAAAGGAATAAAAAAAGACCCTTGCAACTCAGATGAAATTGAGGTCAGTGCTTGAGTATGTTGTAATGGTCTTCGAAAAACTTTATGAAGATGAACTCTGACAACAAATAAGTAAAACTTAGGTCTGTCAGTAGTTTCGTAATTCTATTAATAAACTATTCTAGGCTACATTTGCTTTATATCGTCCATTTAATACAAGCTTAAAACTGCAAGTTCCATTCGTAACACCCCCCCCCCTTTTCTCGTGATAATTTCTACACTGTCGTAAATAAACTGTTAAAAGATATTTGATAGCTATGTGGGGGTGGTACATGTAATGTCGCGTCTTTCCAATAGTCGAGAGCGTTTGGGACCCACGGTTTTTAGTTTGTATAAACATCAGAACTAGGGCCTCATGGTATTTATTTTCTATAATTATCAGAGCCGAGGCCGTGGTCTTCCCAAGACCTCGTCACTTCGTCTCCATTCTCCCGTAGTCTCAAGTTTCTTACTGGTCTCGGTGGATTTTGCACTGTTGACAAGCGTGTAGCACGATTTGTGGGAACCAGCAATGTATTACTCTCTTTTCAATAAAAATTGTTTTTGACTAAGGAATATACCTAGAATATTTAATTGTTTATAATAAAAAAAGTAATGAACTGCTCAGCTGTAAGTTTTTGTTTTGTTTCTGGAAAGGGAAAGACAAAAAGTTTGTTTATATTGCCCACTTTGGAATATAGCGCCATCTGTCAGTCAGTGATCTGTATAAGTTCTGCGTGGCTCAATTTACAGTTAATTGGCATGAATTATAAAGCGCATCGACATGGAATTTTGAATATATGAATAATAACTGTATGATTATCATTTAATTTTATGTTCAGTTATATTTACTTTTACCTCCTTCCTTTTCAAACACTGATTGAGAACCAAGAATCGAATAAGTTAAAATAATTAATTCCTTTACATGATCAAAATCACTTCAGATGTGAATCAATATTAAAGTACAATAAAATGAAGTATGACAGATTCGCGTTAGTAAAGTATAATTAAAAATATTACGTTAAATAATGATAATTGCCTACGGACTTACAACGCTAAAACCCGGGGTTCGATTCCCCGCGGTGGACACAATGTGATGTACGATGTGTGAAAAGCACACTACCAGTATGCCAAGCATACCATTTTAGGGGGTCTGGGAATATGCCCCCAGAAATTTTTTGAAAATTTAATGCTGTGAGATTGAATCTTGAGCCATTTTAATTACAAACACTGTATATACACACAACGTTATGTATTTAAAGAAACAAGTTTTAATACATAAGTTGGTGTTATACATGCCATGAAAAGTCCTGCCGACAACTGCTGACTTCAGCTGGTCAGCTATAATTGCATTTTGTCTCCAAATAACATTTCATGAGAAGGACTGAAAAAACGTTATAATTCAAGCATTAACAGCTTCTCATTCAAATCTTTTTTTTTTACAATTTTATCAATTCTAAGTTAACAAACGTATGATAAGTTTTCATTCTATACAAACATGTGGTTTTAGACATTGATAAACAATTGATACATTCGATAGACAATCTTTTTTAACGTTTATTAAATTTAATAAAAACTGTTTGAAAAAATAGAGAGTTGGTGTTAGAACTTAGGGTTATCTGCTGTGTCCACCGCGAGGAACCAAATCCCGGATTGTAGCCGTTGTAAGTCCGTAAACTTACCACTGTCCCACCAGGAAATAAGAAGAGTTGTTGTTGTTTGAAGGTAAGCATAAAGCTACACAATGGACAATTTGTGCTCTGCCCATTATGGGTATCGAAACCCGGTTTCTAGCGTTGTAAGTCCGCAGGCATACCGCTGTGTCACTGAGGGAGACAGAGAGAGAAAAATATCAGGAAAATGTAAAATTCTTTGGCTGATTGCACTTTAGTTAAGATGTGTATTAAGTTATTCCCATAAAAACATCATTTTTTTATAATACCGTTGCTTTTAATTTTGAAACATAATAATGACATAAAAGAATACAAAAAAACATGTTTAATTAACATTTATCGAATTTATACAGCCATCTGTCAAATTTCTATGATGTATCGCCTTGTCTTTTTCATGATAGTTTTTGTACAGAACATATAGATACTCTCAAGTATATAACAAACATTATCTACACCATGCTAACAAGCCAACTAGGCCTTGTTTTATTCTTTTTTCTCTTTAAACATTCATAACAAGTACAATATACAATGATTTTTTTTCATCCTCTCGAACTACAACTATATATATATTTTCTAAACTGCCGACTCTCTTCTTCACCCAAAAGTGTGTGGGTGGTTGGCGGGTGGGAAGTGGCAATCTGTTTCTGTTAGTCAAAAACTTTCTGTTCTTAAAAAGGTCAACGTCTCTTTTAGTCTGGTAACATCTGACCTGTCCTATTTCACGAAAAAAAAAAAGATCTATCTATGGCAGCTTGATGATTTTCAAGAAGTGTGGGTAAATTTCAAAAGGGGTGGGGGAGAGGGAAACGTTTTTGATAGAAATAAGTAGCGTCAAGTTTCATCTATATGCATTGACTATAGTCAGTCATTCACAAGGTTCAATGTCTAGTCATTCTATGTCTAATCTATGAATTCTCGACAATTAATATACACGATATATGTAGTATTATAATTCTACCTAATTAAAAGAACGAAATTATACAGTTGTAATTTTAAGCCTAATATTAGTGATAAAGTTTTCATTTTCCTCTTAGTCAGTTCATAATGGATTTTAAGTTAGAGCCGTTTAAAAATAACATTTTAATCTACTTTTTGCCTCTATTTTGTTTACATCACTGCCTAGAAGAACTTTCAGTTAATACCAGAACTCGTCAGCCGGGTATGATGTCAGACAAAAGTACAAACAAAATGTGGTAAACAAAATAAATATTTAAAATGGTATTTTTTCATGCCTCTGGTTTAAATTCTGTAATGAGAAACCTGTGAATAGAATGCCTGCATTGTATCGAGATTTTTACCCGTTGGTTGCTTTGCTTCGCTTGCTTACAATGTTTAACACCGTAACATAAAAATTTTCATACTGCATATACGGATTAAGGGAGCGTAGAGGTTCTATATTAATGTGGGGGTCCTTTCATTTTGAACGCTTTTTGAATTGTATAGCCTAGATTATATATATATATAGAGAGAGAGAGAGAGAGACCTCTAGCTCTATGGTTAATTTGCGCGGTTTTCCCCCTGAAGACCTGGGTTCGAATCGCGATTCAAAACAAAAAGCAATAAAAAATATGTCGCTTTACGCTAAAGAATCACCCAACTATGCATATAACAAGCTGAAATACCTTTCAAATGATGGGGAATGTTTAAACTTAATTGAAGAAAGGTAACTTTAACAACAATCATATATTTCAAAGTAATAGCTTGATCATAAACTTTATCTCAAAATTTTAAAAATTATAACAAAGCTTCTTCATAAATAACATTTGCAGTTTGCTTTCC